TATAAAAGCTTAATATATTAGATAGGGCTACATGCATATTATTTAAATATGATCTTCAACTTATGTAAGTGGAAGTCTTCTTTTCTTTTCATTATTAAGTTAGATCCATTTCATCTTTTATGTTTCAGGCAGGCTTGGATACAAATATACGGGTGATCACAATGATGAAAATCACAACGAAAGCATAGAGCTGCCACTGTTTGACTTGCAAGCAATAACTAAAGCTACTGATAATTTTTCAATAAACTGTAAGCTCGGAGAGGGTGGGTTTGGACCTGTTTACAAGGTAATGGGCAGTTTTTTGTTGGGATATAATAGGGCAGGTACTACAGTGGGGATTGACACTTACTCAACATACGGTATAAACATGTTGTAGATTAAGGGGGGAAAACTAATTTTTATAAATGTTTTTTGGAATATAGATCAACATTTTTTCTCTTATAGCAAAATGAGCTTTCTATATACATCTTTGTTTTACTTGTTTCATAAACTATTACTCTTACTTTGCATATGCGGGGAAATCATTAATACATGTAAAGGCATCAATGTTTCACTAAATCACATGTGAAAAGTAAATTGCAATTGAGCAAAATGACTAACTTTTACACACAGGTTCTGAAACAGGGCGTGATGGAAGAGGGGCAGGAAATTGCTATCAAATGGCTATCCAGAACTTTCCACCAAGGACTTGTTGAGTTCAAGAATGAAGTTAACTGTATCGCTAAACTCCAGCATCGAAATATTGTGAAGCTTCTAGGATGTTGTATTCACGGAGAGGAAAAGATGCTGATTTATGAATACATGCCTAATAGAAGTCTAGATTTGATTCTATTTGGTAAGAAATATTCATCTTGCACTGTTAGCTCAATGTAAGTTCTATCGGGAGTAAGGGTTATACATAATGACATAGTGGATATTAATAAACATTTTTCAATTCCATAAGCAAAGATTTATTGATCAAATGCAAACTAGAGCCCAGAACTTTATCTTTTCATTGCAGATGCAGTTTTACGCAACTAATGGTTGAAGATATTCAGTTATATATTGGAAATGACTTCTAACTTCTGAGTATCCAACAGACAAATTATTCTCACAACAAAGAAATTTTTTTGGCAGATTTAATGGGCAGTGCATTGCTTGATTGGCCAAAGCGATTCCACATTATAAATGGCATTGCCAGGGGCCTTATGTATTTTCATCAAGATTCCCGTCTCAAAATAATCCATAGAGACCTCAAAGCTAGCAACATTTTGCTAGATTTTGACATGAACCCAAAAATATCAGACGTTGGCATGGCTAGAATTTTTGGAGGAAATGAGATTGAAGCAAACACAAGTCGAGTAGTTGGAACATAGTAAGAATCTCAATGCTATAATATAAGAAATACACTTCTATTGATTACCCGCCCTTAATTTCGTGGAAATTTTTTCGTGTAGTGGTTACATGCCACCAGAATATGCAATGAATGGCATATTCTCAGTAAAATCAGATGTATTTAGCTTTGGTGTTATAATGCTTGAGATTGTAAGTGACAAAAGAAACAGAGAATTTTCTAACAGGGATCATCACCATAACCTTCTTGGACATGTCAGTACAGAGTATTTATTTCTATGATCTCTCCA